GAAAGTGGAAGAGAAAACTAAGAATAAGAAGGATCGAGAAAATTAAAAAAAAAAGGAACAGGGTTTAAGAAGGCACAAGATGGCAATTGACGTTGCACTTAAATTTTGGAAGACAGTAGTTATCGGGGAAGCAAGAAATCGGCAGGGAGTTCCACAGGTGAGAAGTGCAAGAGAAGAAACTGTCACAGTAGAAGTGCCTGTTGCATCTAGTTAGTTTAACAATAAAAGGGTGGGGCGTAGTTATCAATCTAGTAGCACGCTTAAATTCATGTAATCGGGGCACCGGAGAAAAAAAAAAAAAAACTCGTCAGAGCAGTTGCCATAAAAATATTTGTAGAAAAGACAGAGGGAAGCCACATAACGTCGGTGAGAAAGTGACTGAAGTCGATTGCTAAAGTCAGGATCGATACATTAAAGATCCTTCTTTGGATATTGTCAAGAACCTCAAGATGGAAAGCAGGGTTCCTAGACCAGATATAGCAACAGTATTCAATGCACGGGGAGAATGGTAGATTTGTAAATGTGCAAGATGGATTCTGACAGTTTTTTTTCTAAATTTACGGCCGTGTTAGGTTGAAACACAGTTTCTCTTCCGATCTTTGGATTTTGTTAAGAATCTCTAGATGTTCGATATAGTCGCTTCATTTCATGTTAGTGGAATACGTGATTGGTATTTCTGGAGGTTAGCATCAGCCATGCTTATAAGAAGCAGAAAAGGTTCTCTGCAACTGAAACATTTGAATGTTAGAATTAAGAAATGAATCCTTAAATCTACAATGTAACTCTTCTCTTAATAAGAATGGTTACTTTTGTATTTTGTATCTGGTTGTCATAATAGGAGTTCTAGCGCAAATTCTCAAACATTTTGCCGATTTCAACAGTGCTCTCGTCTGTTGAAAAATGAAATAAAATCAAATAAAAAAGAAAAAGAAATACATTTTCCCATGATGTTGTAATATATGAACCAGAAATTCTATTGCCCCACTTGGCTTTACCAAACGCTAGTTAGGTGGCACTGTTTAAGTTCTATGAAAAGACAAACATTTCCCGCTTTAATATCTTTTTCTACCTTCCTCCAAAATGTATCAGGACGTATATGAAGACGCCCCTGCTGGAGAACGTCCCTTTCCCCCGGTCGACTTAAGACTGAACTCTCCTTCCACTTTCCAAAGCATAGCGTACGCACGTGTCTTCCAAAACCTCCACATATGGGTAAATCAACTTTTTCTTTGGTCGTTCCAACTCAGCTCAAGGCTGACTTGAGCTTGAACATTATAACCATGCTTATTATGACTTGCTCGAACTTACTGGAGTAGAAAAAGGAACTCCCCTACATTTACCAACGCAAAGAAACTCCCCCACCACTTACCAACAAAGAAATTCCTCTCCACTTTCCAACGAAAAGAAACTCCCCTCCATTTACCAACGAAAAAAAAACTCCCCTCCACTTACCAACGCAAAGAAAGTCCCCTCCACTTTCCAACGAAAAATCTCCCATCCAATTACCCACGCAAATAAAATCTTCTCTCCACTTCCCAACTGAAGAAACTCCCCTCCACTTATCAACTGAAGAAACTCCCCTCCACTTACCAACGAAAAGAAACTCCATCCACTTGCCAGCAAAAAGAAACTCCCCTCCACTTATCAACTGAAGAAACTCCCCTCCACTTACCAACGAAAAGAAACTCCATCCACTTGCCAGCAAAAAGAAACTCCCCTCCACTTATCAACTGAAGAAACTCCCCTCCACTTATCAACTGAAGAAACTCCCCTCCACTTACCAACGAAAAGAAACTCCCTTCCACTTGCCAGCAAAAAGAAACTCCCCTCCACTTACCAACGCATAGCGTTCGCACGTGCTTTCCTGACCCTCCAACGATGAAGTAAGTACAACTTTTACTTTGGTCGTTCCAACTCAGTGCAAGGCTGACTTGAGTTTTGCCATTAGAACGATTCTTATCATTGCTTGTCTCAACTTACTTCAGGACAAGAAGAAGAAGACGGACATACCCAAGAGATATTTAGGTCTTTGTTTTCCTCAGTATATATAGATTTAAAAAGATAAACGGACCGTAGTAGGAACCCAAGTCTTGTTGCTTCGACTTTAATTGTTTATATGTGTACACACACACACACACACACACACGCACGCACGCACGCACGCGCACACGCACACACACGCACGCACGCACACACACACACACACACACACACACACACACACACACACACACACACACACACACCACCTACCAGGCACCAATACGCAACCTTTAAACTCCATAAGCCTTCAATGTTTGAATTCGTTTTCTGATTTCTAATTCTTCAAGATTCCTCGCTACAGCATTTGGATCGATTTCATGTGATTGTGGAGACAGGTCCACTTTTGCGTTTTAATTCTGAGACAAAATTCTCACAATCATCATCATAATAATAATAATAATAATAATAATTTTTATTATTAATCAAAATGAGTGATGTAACTCTGTCAGTATTTTATAACCCTTCTAGAATAGTACGATTTCCAGAAGAGAAAAAGATAAAGAAAAAGAAAAAAATGCAATATTTCAACATTATGCCTGTCTTCTGCTATATACAAAACAGAAATGCCTACAATAATAATAATAATAAATCTGTAACTATATCGCACATATTTGGTTACGATGGATGTGCCTGGTACGCCATTATCAGATTGGGTGCTATGATGGGTACATTGGACTTCATATATTTGTACTCTATCCACGGTTTGTTGGTGTGATTCTCTCTCACTCATTATTATTATTATTATTATTAATAATAATAATAATAACAATGCTTTCTTATTGATATGGCAGTCAATGCAGATTGTTATGTATCTTTGAAGATCTTCAAAAAACTATCGAAATACAAATCATCTTGAAGTGGAAATCTAAAAAATGTGGCACATGAGGACATCAATAATCCAGTTGTAGATGGCGCCCTCGGAATGATTGGAAAAGGATCCGATAGACTCTTTAAAGGAATTCCTTGGCAGCCCATGTTTTAAATATGTCTTAAAGAAATACAAATTATTTTTTCACAAGTACTGCTCAGAGTTTTATCTATGATGCAAAATGTGAGCGAGATTAGGTTTTAGGTTTTGTTCTTTTTTTTTCTTTTGACAAGAATAAAAATTGTCGGTGGAAAATGCCATGAAGCCATTTCTGACCTTAGGTCTCTGGTTGGGACCCGGAAGGAAATTTGTATACAACAGAAATCAAAAGAAATAATAATAATAATAATAATAATAATAATAATAATAATTGACTTAAATCTTTCAATATTTTACAATACTTCCAGAATAGCACGATTTCCAGACAAAAAATAGAATAAAAGTACATAATCTTTAACAATGTTTGCCAATATTTTGACAATCTGCCTGTTATTAAACATGTGCAAACATTGTGTCTTTTTTTCCTTTATTAGAAATCGTGCTTCTCTGGAAATGTATTATCAATATTATTTTCTTTTGATTTCTATTCTATACACATTTCCTACCGGGACCCAGTCAAAGATCTAAAGCCAGAAATGGCTTCATGGCATTTTCCACTGATCATTTTTGTAAAAAACACAAAAAAAAAAAACTAAAAAAAAAAAAAAAATAAGATTACACACATTTTGCATACATAAATCCCTTCATAAGGTGTGAGTTGCACTTCAAAGATACAATTCAGTCTGCGTGGACTGTCATGGCAATAAGACATGTTTTTGTGGTTTCTGATCACAATGTCTGGCGATAGGGGGATTAGCTTTGATTGTTCTGTATTGTAAAGTCGCATAAAATTGTTACAGGTCATATCTGCAGCTGGGTATGGTTGATGTTCATACCAATTTATTGCTGTTTCGTTCTTACTGAAGTTGCAAATTTTCTAATGTAGATATTGGCCTACTCTGTCATGCCGGGGTTTATATTCAATGAATGTCAATACCGTTCAACCTGGTACAAGATTTTTGGTGGCTGACACAATTTTTCAGTATGTGTGATAATTTTTCATTATTATTATTATTATTATTATTATTATTATTCCTATAAAGAAGTGTATTTTATGTGAGGAATGACTTGCTATCAGGATTCGTAGTCCCAATTTAATTATAAAAGGTTAGTTCAGCATTGGGCATTTCTTTCTGACATCTAATATCTACAAATGACTGCAAGTATTCAGTACGTGTTTACGAAAAAACACTGATTGGAATCGACAATGAACATTCGATCAATTTGTCTAAAAGCCCCGAATGATAAATCTTGTGCAATACAGGAAGGCGTAAGGTTAATAAAGCCTCCCACGACGAGCCAGAGACACGTGATCACGTCTTCGTTAATAAGTAACATTCAACAGCAGCAAGGGGGAAAAAAAAGTATAAATTGTTTCAGTCACTTAAGGCGTCGTACCGTTCGCTCATCACGCAAACACACGCCAGAAGGATGCAAAAAGGTATTCATGAAGACACAACGAAGACATCTGCTTGCAACTCTTGATTATTTCAATATGTTACAGCTGAAAGTAATGAAAGTGACTGCCTCGTTTTTTGTGGGTGACGCTGATTATTTTAGAGTCTTGAAGCTTGTTTAGGCATTGTAGTGTCGTTAAAACGAGCTCTTCAATTTTTTTTTTTCGAAGGAAGAACGAGATCTCGGGTGTCGAGATTTGCATGAAATTAAGAACAATGCGTTTCCCTGGTCCATAAGTGGCATTTCCATTAACGCCCAAAGACAAGAATCCTATTACAATTGTGGTTGTCTGTCCATTCGTTAGTTTACACGACCGCTACGTCTTAGCAGTAATAGACTATTCTGTTTTGATCGCATAGGAAAAAGGCGAAATTACACTTGGTTTCGTCGAGGAAATGAAAGAAAGAAAGAAAAAAAGAAAGAAAGAAAGAAAGGAATAAAGGAAGGAAGGAAGATGGAAGCGTTTAGCGTCTCTTCCAATACCTTATAAATAATGGACTATACTGTTTTGATCGCAGGGAAAGGATACTACTTGGTCTCATTGAGAAAATTAAATAAAGAAAGCAAAAAGAAAGAAAGAAAGAAAGAAAGAAAGCGAAAAGAAAGAAAGAAAGAAAAAAGAAAGAAAGCAAAAAGAAAGAAAGAAACCAACAAAGAAAGAAAGAAAGAAAGAAAGAAAGAAAGAAAAAATGAAAGAAAGAAAGCAGAAAGAAAGCAGAAAGAAAAAACAAAGAAAGAAAGAAAGCAGAAAAAAAGTAAGTAAGAAAGAAAGAAAGAAAGAAAGAAAGAAAGAAAGAAAGAAAGAAAGAAGTGTTTAACGTCTCCTGCCAATACCTCATAAATAATGGACTACTCCGTTTTGATCGCAGGGAAAGGGAGGAAAAGACACTACTTGGTTTCACTGAGAAAACGAATGAAACAAAGATAGAAGGGAAGATAAAAGTGTTTAAAGGCTGTTAAATGGAAAATGTTGCCAATTTCAATTCTTTACATTTATACCCCCCTTCTTAAAATAATGACCGGCACTCATATTTATCATTGCTATTGCAATATTTTGTTAAAGTTGTTAAACTTAAATATTCAGCAATGCGATAGGGAAATTTTACAGATATTTTATTGTCGTAGAACTCACTATGACCTTATTAAATCATTAACTGAGGAAATAAGGTTCATCAGAAGATTCAGGAAAACTAATGGATAGCGGCTCGGATTGAGGAATCCGAGAACCGAGTTCGAATTCCAGTCGAATCCATTCCATTCACTTACGTGCTAATATCTTTGGGAAACGTAGGAATCCTCTTCTTCTCCTCCCACTATGGGTAAATAGTAGGACAGACCGGGTTCTATAGCCTTGGATGGCAACTGATCTACAGCAGGAAAAAATCTGCCTCCTCAGTTATGTATCGAAAGATACATGATCGCTTAACCGTGTATCACGCATGGCATATGACTGACTGATTTTCATGGGTTAACATTAGTTTAAAATAATTTTATCAGCATTGTTTGCTGGGTTTGATTTTCAAAGTCAGGTCGCTCTAGAATTGCTACTGGTGCATGTCCCGACTAAACCTGTTTACCCACCAGGTTTTTCTAGTGAGGACGGGAGCTAGACACCCAACCTGACAAGCCTGGCGCTTCCTAATTTCCTAAGGCCAACCGCTTCCTAATTTCTGCTATCAATCGAATGTCATTCCGGTATCCTCAATATAATTATTACAGTTGAGCTAAAGAAAGCTCTTGAATGTGTCTGGATAGATATACATCATGCAATATCGCGTAACCACCGTTATTCAGGGGAAAATAAGAACCATTGGTAGCTGTTTGTATTTTTGTCTTTTAATTTACATTCGCATCGAAGAAACAGTATTTTGAATTCTAGCTAAAGTAAAAAAAAAAAAAAATAACTATTAAAAAAGTTCAGTTCGATACTTGTAAAACAGTGATTACTTGTCATGAAGTCATGGTTAACGAGCTATTTTCAGCAATGCGATAGGGAAATTTTACAGATATTTTATTGTCATAGAACTCACTATGACCTTATTAAATCATTAACTGGCGAATTAAGGTTCATCAGAAGATTCAAATGGGAAAACTAATGAATAGCGGCTCGGATTGAGGAATCCGAGAACCGAGAAAGTAGGGAGTTCGAACCACACGGGGTGCTCCATACAGAATTCGACACAAAAGGGGTTGATACGTTTTAAATCATCCTAACTTAATTTTACTACTTTTGCCTCATACAAAATTCGATATTAAGTAACTCATGAAGGGTTGATATGTCATTAAATAAGTACCTCGGCATGAGGTAATGGTTGATGAGCCTCGTCGGGTTGAGCAATACTACTGAGTATTGAGTTTTATTCTCACTGGGTGCCCCACACAAAATTTGACAGCAACCCAACAATAACGTTGTAAAAGCAACCTAAGCTATGTCCGACTTGCCTTCTCTCTGCCCCGTATTAAATTTTCCAATCCCTCTTTCCTCATTATATGCACCAGAAACCTCAACTTTAGGTCAAATATGAGTGACCTTTTCGCTTCCATTGGCTCTAGAACTTTGTCATTGCTCACATGTTACGTCCATGGTATTCTCAGTGTCCTTCTGTAGAATCACATTTCTTTAAGGAGATTGTCTAGCATTTAGATGACAGGTATGAGGTAACAGGTCAATACTTTTCCTATCTCTTAATACTCTGCTTAGCTTTTTTTGAATGCATCTTTGGCCATCCCAATACGTCTTCGAATCTCAATGTTGCACTTTCCCTCCTCCGTTAAGCATAAGTGCCGTTTTTTTTGTTTCTATTGTCTCTTGAACTTCACCGTTGGTCACATGTTCGATCAATACTATTCTCAGCGTCCTTCTGTAGTACCTCATTTCTGTTGCTTCCTGAAGTTTCTTCTTTATCAGTGAGGTGATTGTCCAGCATTCATATTTAAATTGATCTTGTTTATTGTTTAGCCAGCTGCCACCCGATCAATTTTGTGCATCACCCGATTACTTTGAGAAACGTTTATGCAAAAACTAAACATTGATCTTCTTTGAGGAAAACAAAGTTGGTTAATATGAGCAAATTAATGATGAAAGCAAGTGAAGAAGAAAAATGATACATTTCCTGCCTTTTATTACTTCTGCGTGTCTCCACCAAATGTGTATCTCCGCCCAATTTGTATTTCTACTTTCATAAAGAAATTACACATAATTTTATGCGAAATGTCTAATGTACTTTTTAAAAAAACTGTGCCCGGCAAGATCATACAAAATCTGTTAATATAAGGATTTTTGTCAGTCATTCCTGATTGAACATATTATCACGGTGCCATATCCCCCAAGAAATAATGGACAGGCAGAGCGTTTTGTCGACACTTTCAAGAAAGCACTGAGGAAGGCGAGAGGTACTCCCACCGATACGGCTATACAGCAGTTTTTGCAGGTCTATCGTGTAACCCCTAATAGCAGTGCTCCAGGTGAAAAAAACACATTGATTTGGAAATTCTTGAAAAAAATTAAATAATTGTCAGATTTTAATAAAACTTTCAGGACATATTCACAAATAAATGAAATTATTTTTGAAATTGTTTTTTTTTTTTTAGAAAATCTTGGTAAAATATATTTTATTTTTACATATGTTACCCACACCCAACATTCACTTAATTTCATGAAATTTCGAGAAATTAAATTTCAGTCTCAAAATATTTCTATTATTTAAAAGCATGAGTCCTTGGAGAATATGAATACTTTTTTTTTTTTTAAACTACTACTCATTTCCCGAAAATCTGCTCGGAATCATAAAATAAAACATGCAATAAAACTGTGACATTTTTAATTAGAAAAGCTTGTAATTGCCTTTATAACTAAGATTTATTAAGGATACTATTGTCTTCAGAAATGAAAAATGATGAATAATGAATTTTTACAAGGACTGCTTTCCTTTTTTAAAATTTTGAATTATAATAGTTAAAATGTGACAAAATGGCTGATTGTAATCGATTTTCTCAAAGCTACCAAAAAGTTGAGATTCCAATCGATATAATTTCTATTTGAAATACACCAGAATATTTTGCTTACCGGAAAAAGTAAATTTAATCATTTAGCTTTCAATTAAAGCTAAAATAAAATCTTCAAGAATGCTTTTTCATTTTTAAAATTCATTTTATTCTTTAGGCATCGAAAAATTAGTGGCGGTCCCTAATCTAAATCTATTTATATCTATCTAAATCTATTAGTATCTAAAATTATGCATCTCTCTCTCTCTCTCTCTCTCTCTCTCTCTCTCTATATATATATATATATATATATATATATATATATATATATATATATATATATATATATATATATATATATATATATGTATATATATATATATATATATATATATATATATATATATATATATATATATTTCGCCTGTCTGAATTTAATGCTTTATTTAAAAAATAAAAGAAAAAGACAAGGCGGAAACTTTGTTGTTTTTTAGTCATTTATGGAGCCGACTTTTCTCCTGCTTTACCACCCTGGCCTCGAGTTAACTCTTCGGGCGCTGAATCGACAGACTGCCTTGAATCAATAACTAGGATATTGTTGGGAAGGTCACTTGATGACAGAGCGGACTTAATTCGTAATTATCCCTCATTTGTCTGTCGGCACACCCAGCCACTCGCTTTGCCCAGTCCACTCTCCTTGTAAGACGCACACTTCATCCATTGTCTTTACTTTATCCAGCCGAGCGACGACAGCCATTAGTTCTTGTTCTTTATGATTCACTCAATCGATACAGCCAGTAAATCAAGATTTACTGTGTTGACTATCGATCAGCGAATTAGAATACGCACATAGACAAGCAAAAGTACAAGCAAACGCTAAGTATAGAAAGGTATAGATAGACATTAATTCTTCTTAATTTTATATTCTTCCTAAATCTAAATCCCAGATTATCTTCAAATTTATTTCTCCAAATTGTCTCCTTCTACCGTCCAGTTGCTTTTTTTCTCTATGGAAGTTATTATTCGTGATAACTTAATTGATAATTTAGGGGAGTTCGTGAAGAAAATATATTTGATAAAAAAAAAGTATAGCTTATATATAAAGTACATTGTATGTGTGTGTGTTTGTGTGTCCAAGCAACTCCTCCGCTCCCACTGGTTCGATTTCAATGATTCATACATCATTCAAAAGCCTTAGAAAAGTTAGACGCATGGAACAATTTTCGTTGAGCTTAGATTCTGGGTTGCCGGAGTATGCGAGGTTAAAATATATATTAATATATTATACTAGCCATCATCGTTGCTTTCATGTTTGAAGGGGAGTAACTTTTCCTTTTGTATCCAAAATTGCAGTACACGTTTTTATTATAAACTAGCTTACATCCCCGTTCTTATATTGTTCTCTCTCCTTAATATTTGTTCTCAGATGTTTTCACACTCGTTAGGCCATTTCGCGCCTTAGTGGCTTTATCGCCTTGCTTGTGATGAAATTATTAAGAGATACTTAAATATTATTAGTTTGTTCGAAAAGTAATTATGTTTTACCTGAAGTGACATAAAACAAATATAATTTGAATTTATTTAAATATTAATGTAATCAACCTATTCAGTGAGGTGAATCTGAGAGAATTAGAAGTCCTACCAGGATTTATAATTGGCGGCCACAATCTTAACAACATAAGATATGTAGATGACACAGTGTTGATAGCAAACACGGAAAGGAAACTACAGAAGGTAGTGAAGGAAAGCGAGAAGAAAGGACTAAACAATCAATTATAAGAAAACTGAATGCCTGGTTGTTAGCAAAAGAGACAACCCAACATGCAAATTACAAAGTGGAGATGTCAAAATCAAACAAGTACGGCAATTTAAACATCTAGGAAGTGTTTAAACGGAAGAAGGAAAATGCGACACAGAAATCAAAATGCACACTGGAACAGCTAAAGATGCCTTCCAAAATCTAAGCAGTGTATTATGAAATAGAAGAAATTCGTTAGATATAAAGAAAAGAGTACAGATCTGTTACGTGATATCATTCTCCCTATATGACAGTTAATGACGGATAATCACCTCACAGATGAAGAAGAGACTTGAAGCATCAGAAATGTGTTACAAAAGGATGCTGTGGATACCATGGACCAAATATGTGAGCAACAACGAAGTTTTAGAATAAATGGAAACAAAAGGCGAACTTATGCTTAACACCAGGAAGGGACAGTTGAAAATTCTACGGTATATAATGAGGAAAGAGGGCTTGGGAAATTAGATCCTCACAGGACAGATTGATGGCAAGAGTGACAAAGGAAAACAACGCATAACCTACATCGTGAGTTTGAATAAATGGATGACGGCAAGGCTTTAGGAGACATGGCAAAATAGCTACAAAGGACAGGAAATTGGGGAGAGTTACATACAAAGGGACACAGCACACAGCAGCAGCAGAAGCAGCAGAGGCAGCAGCAGCAGAAGAAGAAGAAGAAGAAGAAGAAGAAGAACGAGCTTGTGTAAATGAATGGTGGAACAGTGTTTACGAGAGCTAACAAAGAAACAAAATTTATTAAGAGCTACAAAGGACAGGAAATTGTGGAGAGTTACCATAGCTTACATACAAAGGGACACGACATATAGAAGAAGAAGAAGAAGAAGAAGAAGAAGAAGAAGAAGAAGAAGAAGAAAATAATAATAATAAGAAGAAAAATTAGTTTGAGTAAATAGGTGGCGGAACTAGGAGAGATAACAAAAAACAATTTATTAAGAGCTACAAAGGACAGGACATTGTGGAGAGCCATGATTTTTTTCAAAAATGTATTGCCTTTAATAATTTTTTCCTCAAAAATTCATTGCTGGTAATAAGCTTTAACAAAAATGTATTGCTGGTATTAAAACCTATTTTTACACTTTCATAGTGTTTTGAACCCTTTTTTGTGAAGGGGTGGGTAATTATTTGCCCTTAGCTAGGACCCTGACAGGTGCTGCCACCCCGGGTCAGGGTGGACTTGAGAACACAAGCAATTGAGAAGTGGTTCTACGCTTCTCAAAACCTCCTGATTAGAGGCCTTGCAGTCGGATGTAGTTTATTGTCTTACCCAGGACGCCTCATTTAGGATGGGGGAGAGGTCTTACCCCTCTGCAGAGGCGTTAGCCAACAGGGCGGGATTTTAGTAGTAATTAGAACGTTAGAATAATAATAATAATAATAATAATAATAATAACAACAACAACAGAACTAAACCGAATATTTCAGTCGGAGAACTTTGACGTATTGGTATGACGTTTATCTGCTTAACTTTGAACCTAAACGGGTTAGAGTCAGGTTTAATCCTTTAAGCCTGAATCTTTCTTTTAAATTTTAAATTATTTCACCCCAAGCAAGGCGACAATGCCAGTTAGACGTAATGGGCTACTAGAAATGAAAGAGAATGAGAAAACTTAAGAAGCAATCGGAAACCCAATCCTAAACCGGAAACAAGGGATAAAGCTCTACTCCTGTTCAAACGACCGGGGAGATATGTGAATGGGACGATAGTGAGTCGTCCTCATGAGGTAAGAAATTTCTGGAACGAATTTCTGGAAATTTCAACGAGTGTGGTCTATATCACAAGGCCGACTTTAATGTTGAACCCTATAGTCTCTGTCTTTTCTACAAATATTTTCATGGCAACTGCTCTGACGAGCTACTTTCACTGGTACCCAAACTGCATGAATTTAAGTGTGCTACTAGTTTGGCATCTCAGTCTCACCCTTTTACTGTCGAAACAGTTAAATGTAACCGCCGCTTCTACTCCAACCGTTTCTTCTCTCGCACTTCCCAACAGTGAAACTCCCTTCCTTTTACTTGATTCCCTGATGACTATAATCTTCAAATATTCAAATGTAATATCAATCGACATCTTCTGAGGCCTTGATCCTGATCCCCGTCCTTCTCTATATCCTTTCCTCAAACACCCCTCTTTACTCTTGCTCTCACTCTCTGTAATCCCTTTTGCGTGTTCGTGGCACTCTCGCCTTGATTGAGGTGAAATGCTTAAAAAAAATCTTCACTCCTCGGCAATGTTTATTATTTTTAAAAAAACCATGATTAGAATTGTAAGCTTATTTATACTTTTTTCTTCTTGAGAATTTGCAACAAAAATATTAATCACTCTTTATATATTTGTTTATTTACAAGAATAATTTTATATTTACAACTTTCTAAAAACTAATACAATTGTATTAAAACTAATGTAATGCAATATTTATCATTTACCAGTTTATAAAGATATAAATATGAAAACATTTTAAACTTAAAAAACATTTATTAAATTATTAAAACATCTATGATTATGACTATGATTAATTCTTTATTATTTACCATTTTATAAAGTTCGAATAGATTAGAAATTAGCCGGTTTTTTGCCACACATTCCGATAAATAATATAATAAATAGAATAAATAAACAATGTAACAATAGTTTATATTATTTTGTTGTAAATTCTCAAGAACATAAAAAAAAAAAAAATTATAAATTCACTTTCCTCATATGTTCAGGTTTTATTAAAATTCTAATCATCGCTTTTTAAAGCAATAAACAATGTCGAGGAGTGGAGGTAGTTAAATTAAGATAGTTTTAGAAGGAACCAGCAACCCCATCTTAAACAGGGAACCCGGGATAAATCTGTACTACTGTTCAAAAGACCGGAGAGGAGTGTGAACCGGATAATAGGTACTCCATTTGAGGAGAGAGCGAGCGAGAGAGCGAGAGAGAGAGAGAGAGAGAGAGAGAGAGAACTAAAATATTAGTAAGTAAAATTTCAGCCGGAGATGTTAGAAGTATAGAGTTGAAGTAGACTTTAGAAGGAACCGGAAACCCAATCCTAAACAGGAAACAAGGGATAAACCTTTATGAGAGTGTCCAGCATTTACTGCCATATAGAAGGAGAGATATTACATAACAGTCCAGCCCTATCTTTTTGGTTTCTGACGAAATCTTCCGGTACGAAACTGTGCGGCTTACGACCACATCACGTTGAAACACCGGTTGCCGTACGATCACTGAAGTTAAGCAACGTTGGGCCTAGTCATTAATTAGATGGGTGACCGCTTGGGAGTACCAGAGCCTGTAAATCGGGTTCGTAATATTCACTTATGCGCAAATATCTTGGGAAATATATAAATCCACCTTTTCTTCCCCTACTATGGGTTAATTAGTATGACTTGTATCGCTAAAAACATTATCTAAAAAAAAATGTCGGTATTAAATAACCCATAGAGGTGTTGATACGCCGCTAAACAAAAACAACTAACCAAACTATGTTCTTTGTTTGACTGATAGTCGTTCCTTCTTAATTTTTAGATTTTTATTTTCAAAATTCTTTCTAGTTTTGGTTTTCGAGCGACAAGATAATTCATGTTGTCAAATGATGTGTTTCCCTGGTCGGCACCCCCCGGTCCCCAGGCCATATCCGGCCTGTGAAGGTTTTTTGTCCGGCCTACCAAATTAACCGTAGTAAGGAATTTGAATTTTGGTCGATTGTTTTAGTTGTTATTCGGTTATTTCTGCAGTAAAATAAAGAACCTTGCTTAAATACTCAGTCAGTTATGTGCCACGCGTGATGCACGCTTAGGCGATCATTTATCTTTAGATACATGACTGACGAGGCAGATTTTTTCCGCAGTAGTTGCCATTTCTTTCTGCGGTAGACCGGTTGCCATCGAAGGTTATAGAACCTCGGTCTGTCGTTTACCCATTGGGGCGGGGGGGAAGAAGAATAGGATTCATATCAGTCCAAAGGGTATTAGCACGTAAGTGAATTTCAGTCAGTTATAACCCATGCGTAATATATCCTTAGGCGATCATGTATCTTTCGATACATGACTGACGAGGCAGATTTTTTCCCGCAGTAAGTATCCATTTCTTTCTGAGGTAGACCAGTTGCCATCCAAGGCTATAGAACCCTGCTATTTACCCATGGGGAAGAAGAAGAGGATTCATACCTTTCCCAAGGGTATTAAAACGTAAGTGAATTTCAGTCAGTTATGTGCCATGCGTGATACACGCTTAGGCGATCATGTATCTTTCGATACATGGCTGACGAGGCAGATTTTTTCCGGCAGTAGGTATCCATTTCTTTCTGAGGTAGACCAGTTGCCATCCAAGGCTATAGGACCTGGTCTATCCTGCTATTTGCCCATAGCTGGGAGGAGAAGAAGAGGATTCTTACTTTTCCCAAGGGTATTAGCATGTAAGTCAATGTAATGGATTTGACTGGAATTCGAACTTTAAATAAGCATTAAATTGGTTGTTTTGTTTTAAAACCCCTGACCAAGGCAGCCTTCTGATCGGAGCAGTCTAAGCTCGAGACAATTATTATAGTACATTTGATATGGACCTCCTCCGAGATACTGTCTAGCTTTCTGGTTCGTTCTCTCCAAAGGGTTGCCGACCCATGAAAGTCTATGCAAAGAAAAGGAAATCCAGAATTTAGCTTCCCGAGAAAACCAAATTAAAGAACATCGTCCACACCAACCCCGGCGCCTAACGAAGCAACGAGCAGTGTAGTGCAAATGACGACCTAAAGCCTAGCTTATCACTTTTTGACGGTCTTTAGTTGAAACCAGCTTGGTGCTGGCAAGTGTTCATTTGGCTTGATTGACAGAATGCGAGGAAAAGACAAGCATTGACCAGATGAAATAGGACAAATAAAATCGGTGTAAATTGATATTAATTAATCTCAAGGCGGTTTAGCTATTAATTGCTGCCTGTAAAATTTTACAGACGGAAGTTTGCTATAACGGAGAAAGAAAGACAAGAACGTCTTTGGCTGGTTATAGCAATCGTGCCACACGCAGTCAATTAAAACACGTCCAAACAAAACACATTTAGACGTTTCGTTATGCAAACGTGTCTTGTAAATTGACCATGATCTAACCATTGTTGACTTGTCAGGGACTTGACTTATTGATATGACTCAAGCTGGGATCGCCTCATCAGGCCGGCCATTTAATATCGTCTCACCTACCGGCGGAACTTTGAACGGGACTTGCCGAAATTGTGAGTAACCTTCAGTGTACTTTCGATCGTTGCTGGTTTGGTTTGGTTTGGTTTATTTTACCTCAACCACAAGCAACCACAATGGATTATCTAACGCCGGCAAGATTTTTATTGCTGGTAATATCTATCTATCTATTTCAGTATATATTGGTTTGGTTTGCTTTGTTTTACGGTATACCAACCGCAATGAGTTATTTAATGTCGACAAGATTTTTATTGCTGGCAATACTTTTTTCACAATTGCATAGCTGGTAATATTATTTTTTCGAAAATGTATTGTTGGCTTTAAAACCTATTTTTATACTTTGTGCTTTGACCTCTTTTGTGGGGTTAACTATTTGCCCATAGCTGGGAGTCTGACAAGTGCTACCCTCCCAATTAAGAGGTAGTTCGACGCTCCTTAAACCTTCTGATCAAAGGCATTGCTGTCGGATGTCTACCCAAAGCTTGGGTCTACAAGGCTTGGGTCTAACCAAGGCTTGAGTCTACCCAAGGCTTGGGTCTACCCAAGGCTTGGGTCTACCCAAGGCTTGAGTCTGCCCAAGGATTGAGTCTACCCAAGGCATGTTTTTTTCAGCCACTTTTAAAAAGGTACCGCACGCTGGAATCGCTTCCCATAAAGAAGTCACCTATCTGACAAATCGGTGAAAACTTGGATTTCATGATTAGAAAGTGATCGGGATAAACACTCAGACATATGATCACACACATTGAAGTTTTTAAAAAAGAATAAAGTCAATAAAAACTTTAATTTTCGACTATCTCTCTCTCTCTCTCTCTCTCTCTCTCTATATATATATATATATATATATATATATATATATATAATATAACAGCAGAATTTTTCATGAAAACACAGAAAACTGGGTTTATATAAGAATCCACATATCCTTGCCATTTTTTAAATTTTCCATTTTACCTTAGCAGTTTTATTATCGTCTTTCAAACTCCAAAAATATTTAGAAAGTGATGTATTGTTTCTATAAGTATTATTAGTAAAGGACAATACATGTTGATATCATCTAGTCTTGAAAGAATTCTTAGTACTACCAATATAGAACTTTTCAACCGTTGGATTCTCTATTGTGGAGATGGTGCTAAGATAAACCAGAGATTTAGTTAAACATTTGTTTGGCAATGGGCGTTGATCAGAATTCCTACAATTACACTGACCAATATTATTAACAATATTTTCCTTGCCATTGATTGCTAATCTATGGGCCATGACATATTTATGAAAAATAATTTCTTAATTTTTGCTTCTTTCTCTTAGTTTAAATTTAATGTAGGTCACATTGGTTCATATGAATAAAGCCCACAAACCTTATAACCGTCACTTTTTTTTTTGTAAAAAGAGGTTGTACATTGCTTTTAAAACTAAATAAATCGTTCACTCGCCAGTAATTTACAATCACCTGATCAGATGCATTGATATGCAATTGCACGACTGCAATTATGTAGCGATATATATATATATATATATATATATATATATATATATATATATATATATAATTAATACAAGTAATCAGTTTGTCATTTAGCTGATTGATGTTACCTTCTGTATCAGGTCTCCAGAGTTTTGGAGAAGGATCCTCTATAAATCACTCCTTCCATTAAACATATGGTATCAGTAAAATATTTGAACTTAATTCAGCCCATTCTCAACCGTATATATATATATATATATATATATATATATATATATATATGTATATATATATATATATATATATATCTATGTATCTATCTATCTATATATATCTCCCTCTATATATTCTGTTTAGAGATACCTTTAAGTAAATGCTCTAATTACATTTACCGTCCTGGATGTTCGAGAAATTTCGTAGAAATTATGCGATCTCCGACAGGAATCGAGCCTGTATTCTTATACGGAAACCGTCATTTGACCTGACGTGCTGTACCATTTAGTTACAGAGACGCGTCTGGTTAGCAAAGTCCGTATTACTGTTTATAAACACAATTTTCGATGATTTTTTGATCGATCATTTCTGGTCAAAATGGCAACAAAAATTATGAAATAGATTATATCAGACAATTATTTAATATATTTTCTGTTTATACGTCATTTTTATAGGTACATTTACATTGATACTTCTCGTGAGTAGAAATGATCGCCCTAGAAAAATCGTCGAAGATTGTGTGTTTAAAAACAGTAATTCAGATTTACTGACGTTAGTGACGTCACTCCATACAGTGACAAAGCAGCAGTCAAATTCAGTTTGTTTTACAGCAGCCACCACGTGAGGTTGTCACCCCTAGCAGATTTCATTTCCATGGTGACATTTTCTTTTGGAAATATATTTTTCTTAGATATAGAAAGAAACTCCAGCTCGCAGCTCTCATTCGTGGAATATGTCCTCGCCTAGGACATAGATGAATCCAGCCCGTTTGAATCTGGAGTCCTAAACATGCCTTCTCCAGACACAGGGGTGTGCATCTATATTAAAATTTAAGACCCTTCCTCTTTGTTTCTCCTTACACTCTGCTTTACTCAGTAGATATATGTGATATAGTATTCTGTCTGTGGGACATGTGTATATATAGCTTTGTGTATGCCTTAGTGATATAAAAGTCACGCTGAGATTAAAGCATTTTTGTTATTCCTTTTCATCTTGTTCCGTCCGTGAAATATGATGTTGTTATATCACGGATATGATAATGCCAATAATGGGGAAAAAAGTTGGAGAAATTTTTTTTCTTTCAAGGTTTTTTCATTATAATGTCGAGGAAACTGCTAGAGCAATGTATGTCCCAAATTGGACCTCCTATGATAGGTCTTAGTTTTAAGTCGTTTGGTATGGATATTTTCACACAACTGATTTTCGTTATATTGCATGTCTCATTAATTAGTTTATTTTTGTGTAATTCGGGTAGCCCATGGAGATTGTTTTACAAACACGAAAGCAGCAGCCAAATTCAGTTTGTTTTATAGCAGCAAACCAAAAGTTGGCTTTCTTTTTAGTCTGAACCAAAGGGGCCCAAACTGAGGCTAAATCTACTTCGATTGCAGCTAACAAGTCCGCGATGATGTTTTCCTTTAGGAATATATCTGAACCAGATATAGAAAGAAAATCCAGCTCTCAGTCCTCAATTTTGGGAAAACCCAAGACTCCTTGTTTCTCGTTCATAGAATAGATCCACGCCGGAGACGTAGATGAATCTGTCCCGTTTAAATATAGAGTCCTAAACATGGCTTCTCCAGACACAGGCGCACCTCCATATTATATGTAAGATGCTTTCTTTTTGTTTCTACTTGCACTCTGATTTACCGTGTAGATATATGTGAAATATTTTCCTCCGCATGCAACACGAGTATATATATATATATATATTTGTGTATGTCTTAGTAGCACAAAATTGCTTTGATAAAAGAGCATATTTGTCATTCTTTTTTCCTTTCAGCCATTATTATCACGGATATAATAATGCCCATAATAGGGAAAATCCAAAAGGCAGAATAAACATTTCTTCCATATATCTCTTTCGTTACATCATCAATACATTTTTGTAACAAAAAAATGAATTAATGAATAAATAAATAAAATAAAATAAAAATATTTTCAGCAATACATTTTTTATAAAAAAAATTACTAATTAATGAACATTAAATTTCGTCATTTTGTGACCCATAAAGAGTTGATATGTCTCTAAACAAACAATTTTGTTAATTCCTCCTTTTACGCACTTACAAGAACCTCATTCTGCATCTTCCTACCTTGAGTGGTTCTTGAGCCTTGTATTCGTTGAACAAAAGGAATATAAAACCATTAAACACGTAGTAGTAGGAGCACTAGGAACGACTGAAAGGAATGCTGAAAGAGACATTAAAAAATCGCCATATTTTTCTGAAATCGAAATGATTTTATTAATAAAAACTGCTCAGATATTTAGAAAGGAGAATTTAATAAATTCTTTAAAAAATCTTCATTAAAGCGAGGTTTTAAGTAAACATTTTTTGCTTTTCTTTCTTTTTTTTTTTTTGTAATTATTTCACCCCAAGCAAAATGTACGCTTAGAAAAATCAGCACCAGGACTCCCATCAACAGTGATGTCAGTGCCCAGTTTGGGAAACCAGCAACAGAAGAACTTTTCAACTACTATAATACAACGAGATCTCATCAATTTACAGTTGACTTGGCTAGATATAACCGTAAGTTCTATGCTAACAGTTTCTTCTATCGCACTTCCCACTTGTGAAACTCCCTTCCGGCTCCATATTTTTCAACCAACATTAAACAAAAATGCCTTCCTGGTTACCCTTCTTTTTGTTCTCGCTCCTTTAATAATGTTTCTGTTTTCTAATTCTTACACACCCAGTAACCCTCTTGTGTCTTAGTGGCTTTACTGCCTTGCTTGGGATGAACTCAATTAAAAAATATACTCCTTTGAATATAAAGGTAAACAAAACTAACTCTTTTGTTTTGTTTTGTTTATTTTAAATGGTTTCCACACAAAGCGCAAACAAGAGAAATAAAACATTACAAAAAAAAAAATAAAACATTTGTCTAAGTGGCGGCGAGAACAAAAAAAAAATGAACGGAAGAGAAATGATGTAGGGAGGGTGCGGGGCAATATCTCCACACACACACACACACACACACACACACACACAAACAAAGGAATAGGGTCACCTAGAAAACAGAAGAGATGCCGGTTGGGCGAAAACGCAAAGGACGAATGGTAAAGCAGACAGAGGAGAGAAGAAATGAATGAATAAGAAAGGAAAACATCAAAAACGTCTGTAAAGGAAGGAAGTTGTAGTTTTTAGTTATCTGTCTCTTCCTTGCTTCCTTCCGTAGAACTGATGTCGCTTCGATGGCGATCATATCATCTCTTCGTTTCATGTCTAAAAGTGTAGTCTATATATATATATATATATATATATATATATATATATATATATATGTATGTGTGTGTGTGTGTGTACGCTTTTGAACGTCATTGCCTGTCTATGTGTGAGCTTGTTGTTTTATTTATAATTTATCTATTTCTACTGTCAGTCAACGGCAAGCTGTGGGAAAACAGACAAGAGAGAGGTTACTTGTATCTAAAGGTGTGTGAAAGTGAGGCGGAGGGTGAAAAGCATAGAATGAGAAAGACAGACAGAGAGAGGGGGTGAGAAGAAAGTTAAAGACGCAGAGTATAAAAAATAGATTATTTAGATGATCTTTTTTTTTTTTTTTTTTTTAGTTGTGGGAGGAAGATTGATTTGCGCCAGGGTCTGCCAAAAAAATCAGTATTCCTAGCGCCGGTAGGGACATCCTAACCCATCAATATCCCAAGAATACAAAAACAGACGAACAGAAAAATCTCAGATGAAAATAAAGCACAGTTCGTACATATAAACGGGAATTAAGAGTCTTCTCAATGATTTTTCGAGTTGATAGACTGACAAAGAGATGAAAACTATATATATTAGGCTGCCTCGTTGCACATGACGTCAAAGTAGACTATTTCAAAGGTCCAAATTTCGAAACAGTACCCGGATGCAGACAAAGGAATTCTAACTACCACAGTCAATGCGTGATACACGCTTAGGCGATCATGTATCATGACGAGGCAGATATTTTTTCTTTCTGCGGTAGATCAGTTGCTGTAGAACTAGGTCTGTCCTGCTATTTACCCATAGCTGGAGGGAGAAGAAGAGGATTCATACCTTTCCCAAGTGTATTAGTATGTAAGTGAATGTAATGGATTCCACTTGAATTCGAACTCGGCTCTCCGATTTCTCAATCCGAGACGCTATCCACTGCTCCACACTGACTCCAAATCGGTTCTCGAAAGTCGAAAATACTTGAACAGTATCAAATTATGAACTCCTCTACAACCTCTCTCTTTCTTTCTTTTCTTTCTTTATCTATCTATCTATCTATCTATCTATCTATATATATATATATATATATATATATATATATATATATATATATAGAGAGAGAGAGAGAGAGAGAGAGAGAGAGAGACACACACACACACAGACAGACAGACAGACAGACAGACAGACACACACACACACACACACACACACACGGTGGCGTAATGGATAGCGGCTTGGATTGAGGAATCGGAGAGCCGAGTTCGAACTCCAGTCGAATCCATTACATTCACTTACGTGCTAATACTCTTGAGAAAGGTGTGAATCCTCTTCTTCTCCTCTCCAGAGAGTTTTATAGCCTTGGATGGTAACTGGTCTAAGAGAAGGACAACTCTGGGGACCTTGTGGCACATAGTGCACCTAGTCTCTGTATTCGGCCCTTCAAAAAGTATGGATGGTCCTGCACGAAACCTTCACCACTATATATATATATATATATATATACACGGGTAGGTCAAAGTGAGTTTCGATAGACGGAACAATACGGAGGCCGTTGATGGTCGTGCTAGCACGAAGTCACGAGTCATCGTGACTGAGGTGGTTGTGTTTGTGCATATTAGCCCTCTTCAAACTGTTGTGGAGGCCAGATGATGTGCGCTCTCCCAGAAACTGAAACTAATTTCTGCTCAACATAGTTGAAGTAAAAAGGGGTTTGGCAAATACAAACCTGCCTGAGCAGGCGCCTGCAACAAGGATTGGTTAGCCACTTTAGCGGGTGGGCTTGGAAATGAATAACTAGCGATTATATATATATATATATATATGTATATTATAATTATTTTAAAAAATATGATCCCTTCGCTACATAAGAGTTTTCACATTTCAAAAACAATAGCCGAAAACCTCAGTATAATTATTAAAATTAAATTAAAAAAGTATCAGGCCCTGTTACATCCTCAAGCGAAAATTTAGGAATAACCAATCTTGAAAGATAACGCATCTTTATAAGCATGTTCATTCGCAAAATTATTCACTATGGAAACGGTTGGGGCGACCATTTTGTTAAGGGACCTAAGAGTTAATTTTTATCCACATATCAGTCACCTTCGGAAAGAGGTCAATCCGAGGTAGGGCCGAGGTGTCCATTTTAAAGCGAATGATGGCATTCATGTACGCATATCGTCTGGTCAGTCACAGCGAAAGATAGCTGTTGACAACACAATATGTCGTTAAGTGTCTAAAGAATTTTATTTTATTTATTTATTTTCATAAAGAGCTGTTTCGTACATAAACGCGACAAACAAAAAGTTGATTTCAACACAAATCTAATTCAACACAAATTTTAAACTAAAAACGCCTTCAATTTTCAAGCAAAACTTCACTCAATTGTGGCCAACAATAAGTTGATTGTTTAACAGTCATTTCACTTGATAATTGAGTTCGCCTATATAATGAAAACACGCGTAAATAGTGAAAAATGGCGATTTTTTTCATTAATTGCTTCATAAATGCATCTTCTTTTATATCGCTGGTAGCACACTGACAAATTGAATTGCATAAACTCCAAAATAATTGTGGTTTGAAGTGGGTCTTCATGTTGCCTGTTTTACCCCTTCATGTCCTCGGCTACATTCGATTGAATAAATACAGACTACTTCTGTTATATCAGTAATTGCATTAATTCAAAATGTTTTTTAATGAAAGTACTCTAAAGTAATTGAAGAAGATAGACGCTGTTACATCTAAACATGATTCTGTTTTTGGTCCATTCTAATTGAACGGTTTTTCTGATCGACCAGCTGGGTATGGCTGCTAGTATATATATATATATATATATATATATATATATATAATTTTTAACAAGTTTCGTTAAAAACGTCTGACTACACTCAGATTTTTTTTTTTGTCCAGTATACAAAAATATAAGAACACAAATAATAAATAAAAAACATAACCGTCGTACCCTGTCAGTCGTTTTATCGAAATTTGTATAAAAAAATGAGACTGCTGTTCAAATACACAATTATATATATATATATATATATATATATATATATATATATATATATATATATATATATATATATATAAAAAGGAAAAAAAGAGAGAAGGCCAAATGAGCAGGTGTAAAGTGAGTGAAACACACGCACACACACACAAAACAACAACAACAAACAAAAAAATCGATAGCCTACACGTACGAACAAACGTGCAGACGGGAGCATGTGAGCGAACACATATCTGCAGAGACGGGTTCATGGCTGAACGCTCACAAACGGACACATGAACACAAAAAATACAGAAAAAACTTACATCACTGTTAAATGTATATAAAAAGGGAAAGACATCGGGAAAATATAAGCAATAAATTGTTTATACCCACTGAAGAGTGAACAGACAGGTCCGCCTACGAAACTCTGGAGTCGGAATGCTGAAAATAACATCAATCATTAACAAATTTTTACTCACATTAATATATATATATATATATATATATATATATATATATATATATATATATATATAAAATTAATTGATTTAAAATATGTTTTTATTGGCTACACATTTCTAAGCATGTTTCAAAAATGGAAGCTAAAAGCTTCGAATTTAATTTTGTAATTAAATTAAAGACATTAGTTCCATTTCATCCTCAAGCGAATTTTGCAGTAACTTATTTTTTTAAATTACTGGGTTTTAAAGGCACAGAAAAAATCATAATTCCCGTTTTCATTCATCCAGACAAGGGGTGTTTGCGTTTTCATTATCGCTGTATTTTGTTGTATATATATATATATATATATATATATATATATGTGAGAGAGAAATAACAGATGGAGTAAATTTCCACTGTTCGTAGCATTCACCCTTTAAAAGTGCTCAATACAAATTAGAGCAATATAATATTATTATTATTATTATTATAATAAGAGATTATAGTAAAAACATATTGAAGTCACTACACAACAGCTTTCATGTTTCAATACCATGATTGTACTTCTTCAGGCAATGGTAAATTATTAGTGATGAAAATGAGTTTTAAGAAAATTTAAAATCAAAGTGTTATCTCTTTTCTGAAAATTAAAGGCGGGTGGGACGTAAGGTCAGAATTAAAAATAGACTTGTGGTATGTCTTGATTAACCAATTAAATGTTATCTCTACTGAATTATATATATATATATATATATTTATATCCACCTTCGTGAAAAACAATATAGAAAACAGAGACTTCATGTCATTCATCGCAGCCCTTTTAAGAGTAACACTATACTTTCAGTGGCTTAACCTTAGCATAAAAAAATTACAACTTATGTATGTTGTTAGCTAAAAAAAACGACAAGTGAGAAGTATTAATTTCCAAAAAGCAAGAAGCAATCTGCAACTAAACCATTTATTTTACACACGGAAAGGTAGTGTAACATATAAAGATATGGACAAGTTAAAATTGACAGACACGTTTCTTCTTCTTCTTCTTCTTCTTCTTCTTATTATTATTATTATTATTATTATTGTCTACATTTCTCAGATGAGGTATTATGTACACTATTTATATTATTCAGACTATTGTCCTCATCTTTGCCATATTTATTACAACGTTTCGGCCGTTGTACGCTCCGGCCTTCTTCAGGTGGTTGGAATGTCGAACTGAACCCTTTATTTCGCTCACTGGGGTAGTCTGTTCTAGTTCCATGTGCCATGTCTAATGGATGTCAGTTATCAGTTATCTCCTGTTAATTCCCCTCTTCAACTTCTCCACTCCCTTAACCGGGTATTGAACTGACACTCTTTTGGGTCCTGTCTCTGGATCTAACTAACGCCTTTATCCACTGTGCCATGTGTCCTTGAGATTATTATTATTATTATTATTCGATTTCTGCTATGGCCACACTATCTACCATGTCTGCAGGAAGACCCAAGGC